TACTTTCAAATCCTTTCCAGTTCATCATTCATCTGTCACTCTAACATTTGATGCTTTACCATTTCAATATCAAAAAAGCTGTTAGACAACCCCCCACCCCCCTTTCCAGAACCCTACTTCAGCTCCACTTCAAATATAAGAGTTATGGTTGAGTTATATCCCCACATAACAATTTTGAAACATATAGAATTGATGTATTCTAAAAAACTATCTGGAATCTGACGATGACTATTGAATATAATGTCACGTGTTGGGTGTATGTCATGCGACAAATAACTTCATGCCGTTCTGGATCTAGCGAATTTATTCCACATTTGCTTGTACACTTATACAATTCACAATTACACAATTACTTCTGCTGGAGTCACTGCCATTCACTTGATACAACTCAATAACAATGGACTTCAACTCACTCTGGCAAATGTTAGACTGCAACTGACTGGTTACTCTCTCTCACTGACAAATACTCCTGTTATGTACGAGGTGCATTCCATATATAATGCCTCCTATTTTTAATAAAAACTATAACAGATATAGAAAGCATAATAACGCAGTTAAATAGAGCAAGATTTCAGCTACTTACAGTTATTTTTTCACATGATCACCATTCGTTATGCACTTTTGCCAGCAATGAACAAGAGCCTGTATGCTGTGTCTGTAAAAGTCTGCGCCAGCAGAGGCTAACCACTTTCTTACAGCTGCAATGACAGCATCGTTGTCTGGAAAATGTTGTCCACGTAGTCCATCTTTCATAGGCCCAAAGAGATGGCAGTCTGAAAGTGCTAAATCGGGGCTGTAAGGTGGATGTGGTAGGACAGTCCAGTCAAACTTTGCAATTTGTGCGGTGATTGCCAAACTGGTATGGGGTCTAGCGTTATCGTGTTGCAAGCGAAAGGTTGTCTGCTTTCAGCTTAGTCAGCGTCGTCTTGTAGCATTCAGAATTGATGGTCTAACCAGGCTCCAGGAAATCCAACAAAATCACACCCCACCTATCCCAAAAGACCGTGCACATCACTTTCCCTGCTGTGTCTTGAACTTCTTTTTTCTTGGGGGATACAGATGTTGCCACTCCATGGACTGTCTTTTGGATTCCGGCTCGTAGTAGTGACACCACGTCTCATCTCCGGTGACAATGCTGTCCAGAAACTTGTCACCTTCGGCCTCAAACTGGTGCAACAGGTCCTGACAGACTTCCATGCAATGAGTTTTGTGGTCCTGTGCAAGCATCCATGGGACCCACCTGGAACAAACTTTGCAATAATCCAGCTTCCCCAACATCGTTTCCAATGCATTACAGCTGATATTAAGCCATGCACACAGTTCCCTGGTCGTTATCCGCCGATCTGTATGGTTGAGCTGATCAAGGCGCTGTTCATTGTGAGGACTGGCAGCTGAACAGGGACGCCGAGGGTGTGCTTTGTTGTGCACTTCACTTCCGCCACTGTTGAAACGCACTACCCACCATCTCACTGTGCTCACATCCACTGTATCATCTTCATACACCTTTAGCAAGTGTCGATGGATGTAAATGGGTGCAATTTGTTTAGCAGTGAGAAATTCAATAACACATCTCTCTTTCGTATGCACATCTATGTCAGACGCCATTTTGGTAGACTGCTCTGCTGTTGCTATCCACTGCACGACAACCAAACTAAGAGTACATTGGCGGGAAGGTTCAACCTTTACTATAACACCACCAACATCCAGCTCAGACATTACAGATTAACACAAAAAAATAGGAGGCATTATATACGGAATGCCCTTTGTAGCTTCCGCACTGACAACACAGAAAATAGTTATGTGATAGCTACCACTGTTGCATAACATCGTGTTTACATGCATTGCTGGGGAATGCTGCCGAGAGTTGTTTATTGCTGCGTAGTAACCGCAGTGTCCCCTGTTACGTCACAATGGGAAGTGTTGTTACGTGACCGCGGGAGGAAACAGAGTGTTGCGTGATAATGGGAGGAGTGAGGGTATGTGACATCACTCATGGAAATGCAGAGTTCACATGACCCCTACTTCCTGCTGCGCTATCCACGTCACAATAATCATAATATAATATGAAGAAAACTGCTCTTTTGGATGTGCTCATAAGCCCCTTGCCTGAGGGCTAAGTCAGATTTTAGAAGTGAAAATATAGAAATGTATACTATGAAAATTCAAGTTGAGCATGGCCTCTGAATTTACCTGCAGAACTCAGAAAAGCAGTAAACATAAAGTTGTGCCTGCACTGAATTAAGTACCACGTCATCAAGACATATGGGGAAATGGATGTATAACTCCATGCAAGCTTAACCTTAGAATTAGATTAAGGTGAGTGGTCAGCTTCATTCCTGGGAAAAGAGCGCCTCGTACCCAGTGGATATAAGGCTGTACAGGATCAGTAGTTGGTCTTCACATTGTGTGGGGGAGAAAGTTCTCTTGCCAGTCAGGAATTGAAACCTTATTCCTTGAGTGCCAAGCCTGTAATCTATCTTCCATTCTAACTTAGTTACATCAGCTCTACACAGCAAAGTATTGCATAACATAACTGTCAATGATTCAAGATATCAAGACCATAGAAAATATTATGTGATGGGTAAAACAGTGACAAATTTCAAGAAATAATGAAAAGCACACAGGTGAAGTGAGGTATTCATTTTGATCTGTATTTTGAGTGGCACAAATTATTTCTGACAGGTTTTAATAATTCAAAGATGGATCCTGTTATGGCTGACTTTCCGTATCATCTGATTATGATAAATTAAATTCATAAATTATTAACAAACAATTTTCATAAGAGCTACAGAAACATTTATGGCACTGCAGCATAGGTTATGGAGTAGTCCATTCATAGCACTGTTAACGATTTTATGTTGTAGGAAGAAGACAGTATAGTGGATATACAAATCATGCAACAAATAAAATCAAAATGAATTAAAGATAGTCTATCTATAATGGAAACAAAACACTGCATCAAAATTTAATGCTTACTGTCCTAATAAGTCCTTGTAATGAGCCATTACACCATTCTATTAAAGAACTAAAGTCCCAGACTTGTCCCAGGGAAGCACTCAGAGATCCCATCCCCAATCCAGAAAGTAAAGATTTCTTGAAGTGCCACAAAAGTTATGAATCTTGATTTGGCTAATAATATTGGGGTCATTTGAATTCACTACAGAGACACCGGAGAAAACTGCATAATGAGGAACTTAACAACTTGCACTCTTCACCAGATGTTATTATGATTATTACATTGTGGAAGATGCAATGGTCAAGGCATGTAGGGAACAGAAATGCATACAAAGTTTAAGTAGGAAAATTCAACGTTTAGAAGCCACCTGAAAGAACAAGGCATACATGGGAAGTTAACACGAACATTTATGGCCCAGACCTTTTCCACATAATAAATATTTCTAGTAGGCTAAATGGGTATCCACTCTGCCCTTATTTTTTAATATTATTAATTGTTTTCCTAATTCACAACAAGATTAGTCTTTCACCATTTGTGTCTAAAGTGTTTCTCTAGACATCAAAGAATGTTAATTACAACTGAACCACCCACTTCTAAATGGAAATTCTGCCTCCTTAGATTCTGCTTGAGGTTACAAAAATCCTGGAATATTTCGTTTCCTCCAAGTAGCCATTCTTAATTTTTTGGCCAAGAAATCATTTTACAAGGCAGAAATATCTAATGATGCTTCAAGAACGCCCATGCTTATGTCATCTACTATCTCATAAAATATACACCCCCACATTTCCAGTCTTACTAAACTATTTACAAATTTTTATTAAAAATCTCAATACAAAGATGAAGATAATGGCTATAAAACAATTCTCTAAATATCAGAAAACATTATAAATTTCCATGATTTATTCTAACCGTCTTACAGTGCATACATTTATTCACCTTACTCTTCTCTCTTGCACTACATGTTTCAGCACTAAAGTGCCATCTTCAGGTGCTTTTCGATGTACGTCAAACTACTTTATTGCATGCCCTGTTGTCTTTATACTAAAATAACTAAAATATATATTCGTCATATATATTGATAAATTTTAAATATTAAAAATATTAAAACTGTTCAGGATTTGTCATCCTTATGTCGTATCTCAATACGCGAGTCACACCTATCTTCTTCTATCGGAGTATTCTTCCTACTTTCGTGTGTGTATTGTGCTTTGTGTTGTGTCTTGCTCCTGTGACTGTGTGTTATACTGCAGTATAACAGCTCTAATAATATCCACCTCAGTGTCAAAGTTTTCCAAAGCTGTGAACCTATCTGAGATTTCAACATGACAGTGCTCTTTACTCTCTACCTTGTTTAATTTTTTGATATTGAACCTTTCCCTTTGAACTCTGTGGTTGCTTCTTTACTCACTGGCAGTCCCTCTCTAACTCAAAAAATTTGAGGAAAATCTGGTTTTGAAAATTATAAAAAAAAACTCGAAAGTCTCACAAAGAATCACGTGGTTGTCATGTGTGGAGGCCTGCTCTCTCTGCTTGGTCGCATGCACAGTTGCTTGGTCATTTGTCCTGTGACTGGTTCAGTGATCATCTCACAAATTCAGTCTGTTTTTAAGCACTTTATTTATTTCTTTGGGTTTTTTATATTATTTTTAATAATATCCATTTATAATGGTGCCCCCATAACGCAGTTGTGAACAGCAGTATCAACCTGTTTAATGAGAACGTAATGCAACATTTCAGAAGAAAAAAAACAGACAAAATAAATGGCATTAAACAAATTTCTCTCCAAAGAAAAATCAAGTGGTGGTAATGTTAATGAATGACAACTCTCAGCTAGTGGATTCAAGATGAAAGAAGGGGAATTCGCCTTCCAGCGAACAGTAATATCCCTCATACTATTATTATTAATCGATTATTACACAATATTTTCATATGTGTACTCTTATAAATAAAAACATTGAATTATTGAAATTAAATATACTTATTTTATTATTACTTAACAATATGATCTTTTGAAATAGTCACTTGAAATGTTTTATATTGGGTAAATTTTGGGGGTCTGGAATGAACTAATTAAATTTATATTATTTCAAATGGGGAAATTTAACTCAAAAGTCGAACTGTCCCCTGGAAGGGATTGTGTTCGAAGTTCAAGGTTCCACTGTAACAGATATTTAACAGATCACACTTGTCACATGCTACCATGTATAACATAGGAGACAAGAGATAGAATAATTTTACTTACAACATAGTAACATAAAGAAACTACAAAAAAGTATAACAATGTTATAATACTGATATATGTGCCATCAATAAATGTTGCTTGATCTAGACACAATCGGTTTCCAGTAAGAAACTAACAAGCAATGATGAAATAATAAAGCCAAGAATTATATTAACAAGCACAAAAACTCCAAAGCAATCTTCATGAAAGAAGTAGGCATAAACCAATACAGCTAGAGAGTATTATTTCCCTCTTAGCTATCATATCATCAGTATTTGAACACAAATATTCTTCTATTCTAAAACTTCAACATGCAAACTAGTACCTTAACATACCATACCATTTTATACATAAGAATACATGGGCCATTAAAGAAGCAACAACAATCTTGATTCACATGAACATATGACAGAAAATTATGTGCTGGATGGCTATAATGTATTTTTCTTTTGTTATTAGCTACTTTTCAAATGTAACATACCATAAAAGTAGCAAAATTAAAACCAATGATAATCAAATTACCCATCATGTCAACATTTATGTAGAAACCACTCCAATTATACTTACATTCATCCCTAGAAAGAGCCAATAAGTTGAACATCTATAACTTAGATATTCTTTCACTAGAGTCCACTTTCAATCAAAGGATTTGTCTTACATATTTCAATAACAGTAATGGGTGCAACAATCATGTATGTCAAATTAGACAAAATATACCATATATAAAATATATTGCCCCCCTTCATAGTGGGAAATTTCATCGAAAAAATTTGTATTACTCATATAGATAAAAAACACAACTCTCTGGGTCAAGTACATTTTTTTTTTTCTCAATATCTTCCTAAAGGCCAATTTCATACCAATGGAATGGTTTTCTGGTGAATGCTGCACCCAGGATGTGTTTCAGTTTATTCCATTACCAAACACTGGCTCCATATATACTGTACTTCTTCTACACTGTGAATTTATTACATTCTTGACATACCTGACAGCTATTAATTTAAAACAGGTATCTTATGCAGTTCCCTAGAATGAAGGAACTTGCATAATGAAAGTTCCTTGTTTCCATATGGTCTCACATATAATGTCATTTAACAAACATCTGTTCAGTAGGTGGAATTATTTAAACACTTTTAAAATAAAACTCTTATAACAAATAATATCAGTTACATATAAATGTACAATATTAGCATCAGCACTGTTTACCATACCTTAAATTACAAGGTGTATCAGAAAGGTCCCTGACTGTTATTGTTGTAACTGCCTTGGTGAAAGATGAGGGGAAGCCAAGGTCACACTTCCACAAGCCTATTGCATCAGTCTGCCATGTGAAACCACGCTGTGAATATGCGCTGTTTTTACACGTGCTTTTTTGACTTCATGTTTCATTCTGTCTGCAATGGATGGCAAAATCAAGTCTGCATCAAGTTTTCTGTGACACATAGGTAAATCTGCTACTGAAACCTTTGAAAAGATTTGTGAGGCTTTTGGAGAATATTCTTTAGGCCAGAGAGTAGTTTCTGAATGGCATTCAGGTTTCATGTTCAGTCAAGTGTCAGTTGAAGATGACGAATGTTCAGGGCAATCAAGCATTAGGAAAACGACACAAAATGTTGAAAAAATTTGAGAACTCATCCATGAAGACCACCGAACAATCCATAAGCTCACAGACAACGTTGGATTCAGTTATGGAGTGTGCCAGGAGATCTTAACAGAAAATATGAACATGCACCGCACTGCTGCGAAGTTTGTTCCCCGACTCTTGACAAATGATCAAAAGAAGTGGCACGTAAATGTGTGTCTTGAGCTATGAGAGGAGGCTAACGAGGACCCAATTTTTATCTCTAGAATCATAATGGGTGACAAAAATTGGATATAAAGTTATGATCCAGAAACAAAGTAACTATCGTTGCAGTGGAAGAGCCCACAATCTCCATCAGAAAAAAGGCGCAGTAGGTCCGAGTTCAACAAAGAGCATGCTCATTGTTTTTTTCAGACATGAAGGGGATTGTTCACCATGAATTTGTTCTTCCTAACACTATGACCAACTATGATTTACTGTGATGTTTTGAGACACTTGAGAGAAAATGTGTGACAAAAAAGACCAGAACTTTGGCTCAACCACAACTGGATCCTTCATCACAACATGCCTGCCCACATATCCCTGAAAATCAGAGTTTGTGACTAACAACATGGTTATCATTCCCCATCCTCCCTACTCACCGGACTAAGGCCGATGTGATTTTGCTTTGTTTTCCAAATTGAAAATGAAATTGATGGGACATTATGAAACAGTGTCTCACATCCAAAGGGAATAGCATGTGGTACTTGACAGCATTAAGGAAAATGCCGTTCATGGTGCTTTTGAAGTGTGGAAGAAAAGATGGGATCGCTGTATACATTCCCAAGGAGATTAATTTGAAGGAGATGGGAGCTAAAATTGAGTAAGTTAAGCAAGCATTTTTTTTTGACCTAGTCCAGGAACTTTCTGATATCACCTTGTATTATGCATTTTGAGGCAGGTGGAAAATGGACGATTAAGGTCATTGGTAAGTTCAACTTCAGACTCAGCTGAAATGGATGAGTACATTGATGGTTGAAGGGAGTTACTAAAAATTGGAATGGTTGGCAGACTGTTTCTTCATTGGAAAATCATTTTCATATGTTTTTGTGTGTATAAGCAAAACTATTTTGTACAATTATGCATTGGACAAGAGGTCACTGCATCAGATTTCAGGTTCTTGCAGGGATGACTACAAAAATGTCTATCTTCTGGGATGCAATACCATATAAGCTTGTACGAATTCACCAGCATTTTGTAAACACACACACTGCCTGATACTGCCTCAAGGATGAAAGAGTAATTCAAGCATGTAGCCAGCAAGAAGCAGACAACAAGCAGATTACTCTTCAGGCCTGAAAATGGAGGTAGTGTGTTCCTCTGAAATGTCAGTGAACTACTGGACTACATGGTTTCCTGTCCCAGAAGAGAGCATTCTTCGGTGGTTTACTATGTTCAATATCTCAAGAGGTGTTCCTACTTTATAAAAGCTTGTGCTGTATCAGGGTGGCTTCTGGTAGATTCTGGAAAATGATTTGGGAAGCTGATGTTGCAGAAGTAATACCTGATTCAGATATTAAAATAAATTTAGAAAATACCAGTGACAGTGGGATAGCAGTGTCAGTACAGCAATGGGCTACAGCCTGGATAACTAGGGGTCAATTTCTGGCAGAAGCAAAGGATTTTTCTCCCTTCCACAGTGTCTAGACCAGCTCTGAGGCCTACCCAGCCTCGTATCCAGTGGTAACCATGGGCTCTTTCCCTGGGGGTAAAGCAGCCAGAGCATGAAGATGACCACTCACCTCCATCTAGTGTCAAGGTCAAGAGGGGTGGAGCTATACCTCCACAGTCCATATGTCTTTATGGCATGATGCTTAATTAGTTAATCACTGGGACAACTTTACCTTTACCTTTCACCTAGTTACAGTGATGACAATGGTGCAGATTGTGTTGTAGATTTCTGTGCCTGAAGCACCTGTAAATTTTGGACTAAAAGTCAGAAAGTTGCATTCACTTTAAAATGTGAGTAGTGAATTGTGGAATATGTGAACATGAATTTGTTGTAAATTAGAACAATGAAGTTGTAAGTAAGAAGTTTTTCATGAACCATTTTATTTCTGGAAGTACACAGCTTAGGCAGCATATTAACTTGCCAGTAATCAGTGTGCTAAATTAATGGGTAGTCTGTTCTCCAGTACTTAAGTACAGCATGCACCTGATTATAAGGCAAAATTGTCTACTTACTTACTTACTTACTTACTTACGCATGGAGGTGAGCCCTTCTGGAGGAGCCGCCAATTCTGCAGCTACTCAAGAATTTCCCAACATTTTATGGAACCCGAAGAGTCATTACTGTGTTCACAAGAGCCCTCCACTGGTCCCTATCCTGAGCCAGATCTATCCAATTCATACCATTCTATCCTATCTCTCGAAGATCCATTCTAATATTGTCCACCCACCTATGCCTTGGTCTTCCCTGTGGTCTCTTACCTTCTGAAAATTGTCTACACTTTCATTAAATAATAAGAGTAATTTTGTATTCATTAACAAACAAAAACTAAAAAAGAATGCTATTTAGTGTGGGGAAAGTGCAATGTTGTATTTTTCAGAACTTGTGTATCTGTAGAGTATTGTATGGATAAGGAAGTATTTCAAAAGCAGCACTAACTATTAGAATTCTGTGGCTGCTACTGAGCAAGTTGGCTCAAGCAGTAATGCTTGTAATTCATGTTCACATAGTGGCTGGTTCAAATCTTGTCCAGGCTGTCATGACATATTTTTCATGGTTTTCCACAGTCCTTAGAGTAAACTGCTGGGATAGTACCTCAAATTAGGCCATGATCACTTCCTTCCTCATTCTTTCCAATTCATTATTCACTGGTCAGCTTACCATTCTGTGCTAGATAGAGAGTCTGAGGTACTGTCAGCATTACTAAGTAAACTATAAGTAAACTGAAATTGTTAGTCATCACTATACTAACTTGCAGTTTATCTGCTTTTGTATTGTGACATGTTGCGCAACGAAGGAACCCTACCTACCCAGCGAGTCTTCACCCCGCCACTCTCCCCGCGGTGATGTCACGAGCGGAGCCGAAGTGAGCCGAGCAGAGCCGAAGTTAGCCGAGCCCCTGCAACCTGGTAGCTATGCAACACGAGTCAACAGCGGTGACGTAACAGGATGACGTGGCACTCATTACGCAACAGGCAAGCACTGCGGCTATATAAGGGAACTGCACAGCGGCTGCGAGTTAGTTGTTATGTGGCTATGGCAGAGTTAAGTAGTAGACGAGCGAGCGTGTTATCAACAGTTCTCCAGTCAGCCGACTACAGTTGGAGTATAGCAGCCGTCGCGGAAAGAAGAACTGGACATGTGTGTGATTGTGTAATTGGGAGTGTGTGATACAGTCATACATAGCTCCCCTACTGTAAACATGTAGACTACTGTAGACAGAGTGAGTTGATTTGCGCATAGGGTTATAAAGTGTGAAACCCCGCAACTGTGTTATAATTAATTGTAGCCGTTACTTGTAGATTGTTAAATAAACCAATTAACCATCTCTACGGCGTCTTCAGTAACGAAACACGTTACAGTATATTTGGAGCCATGTCTGCTTTTGATGTATTTACAAGATTTGACTTAATTTCTTTGCTACCTCTTAACCAAAGAACTAGAAATATTCTTTGGACATATTCTTACACTGTATGGCTGCTTCATTATTTTTGGCTGCTAGATGCTTAACGCTACAAGGCATGATTGATAGACTAATTGAAATTGGAAAGCGGCCTCTGTAGTCTAGAGGTAACGTTCCCACCTCATGACTCGTAGTACGCGGGTTCAAATACCCAGCGGAGATCGTCGAAATTTTAAGGGCAGAAAAATTCAGGGAACAAGTTCTCCGGGAGGGACTTTAAGCCGTGGGTCCCATGTCGTAGCTATACAGCACGTAAAAGAACCTCATATCTCCAAATGAGGTCAGTGAGCCAAATTAACGGACGTTTCCCGCCCAACAGCAGTCTCTAATACCTCTGGTAGATGGGGGAAGCATTATAGATACCTCTCAGCTAGTAGAGCCGGTCTCGCTGGCTGGGCGGGACTGATGGTAAGCACCAGTACCGGCAGGCTATAGAGACTGGTAGAAATCATAAAGGGAAGCACAATGGACCAATACAGGTCTCAGTGCATGGGGAAACCCACCCTCTCCAATAACTAACTAACTAACTAATTGAAATTGGAAGGTGCTATGGCATGGAAATGAATGTGGAGAAAACAAAAGTAATGACAATTTCGAGACAACCAACCCCAGTCACAATAAAGATAGACCAAAAACAACTGGAGAATGTAAAATGTTTTAAATATTTGGGTAGCTTGTTAACAAATGATGTAAGGTGTACTAGTGAAATTAAATCCAGGATTGCCATGGCAAAAGCTGCATTTAGCAAGAAAAAGAATCTTTTTACAAGCAAATTGGACTTAAATTTGAGGAAGAAACTAGTGAAATGCTGCTACATTTGGAGCATAGCTCTGTATGGGGCTGAAACATGGACACTTAGGGCAGTAGATCAGAAACATCTGGAAAGTTTCGAAATGTGGTGTTGGAGAAGGATGGAGAAGATCAGTTGGACCGATTATGTGAGAAATGAAGAAGTGTTAATTAGAGTCAGTGAGCAGAGGAATATCCTACATGAAATAAGAAAACGGAAGGCTAATTGGATTGGTCATGTTTTACGCAGAAACTGCCTTCTAAAATAATTTATTGAAGGAAAGATAGAGGGGCAGATAGAAGTGACAAGAAGACGAGGAAGAAGACGTAAGAAGATGCTTGATGACCTTGGGGACAGAAGAGGATATTCTCATTTGAAGGAGAAAGCTGTAGATCGCATTAAGTGGAGGAATTGTTTTGGAAGAGACTGTGGACCTGTCGTCTGACAGATTACTGATGATGATGATGATGATGAGATGCTTAACTTTGTGGATGCATTGTAGTCCTTCTTTTTGTGACTTTTAAGAACTGTGAGGTGCTATCAGAAAGTTCCCAGACTAAATAAAAAAGAAATGCTGGTCTAACAAAGTTGAAAAAGCACTCAAGTAAAATCAATGCATGTTCACAGCGCGCTGTCACATGGCAGACTGATGCAATAGGCTTGCAGAAGTGTGACCCTGGCCTCCCCTCTCATCTTTCACTGAGGAAGTTACAATAATAACAGTCCAAGAATAATAATAATAATACTCATATCCAACATATATAAGCAAATAGTTTAGAATAAAATATACTGTTTAATATACTGAACTCTCATTACCACATATAAATATAATGTTTATGGTTTTATTATGTTTCTATTTCATATACTGTATAGGCAGGGCCATTCATCTGTAATGTGTAAAAATCTATGTATGTAGATACTGTAATGGTAGCCTACACAGCCATGTTCAGGAATCTGACTTATAAACCATTAAGTTATTAAGACTGTCTGTTGCAGATTTTATGTAACCTGCCATTCTTGAGGAACCTAATCCCTGCATTGGATGAGGGTTTACTGCGTCAATCAAAATACTGAGTACTATCACTATGTATCACCTTCCAAAAGGACAGCAGTAATATGACAAACTACCGTCCCTACTTACGTGATGGATCACAGCAATACAAAAATAAATTTAATGACAACACAACAGAACATAAATTTCTGATATGAGCAGTTCAAACATATCTGCAACAAATATTTCTAACTATGGTAATCAATTAAGTTGCAGTTCACTGTGCACAGATCTATTTTGACTGATAAAAAGTGGCATGGGACAGTTAAAAAATTGTTTTACTTTTTCAATGAATGAAATGTTCAGAGATGTGCTTCCAAAGTCAAAAATTCATTCTATGGAAAGGATCACATGAAAATAAAGAATAAAAGTCACAGCATTTTTAAAAAAAAATTACATTTTGTAACTCTAACTTATTTATTTTGAATGCCATACTGTTTTCACTGTGTTATCTTTGGCAATAAAGTTGTGATTCAAAACAGATATATGAGTACATGAATGTATAGTAATTAAATAACAAAAACTTTAAGGTCTATGAATGTATGAAAATTAAAAACTATCCAGAAGAAATATAGTTTTAAAGAAATTCTCATGTTAATTTGAAAGACATTTAAAAGTTCTGAGAACAAATATGTCACATTTACAAATACACAACTTTCCACCTGGTTCCTCTAAGTCCACCTACAGTAAAAAGCCTATCTGCTAGCATAGTTCTTCTTGTGGCTTGCTGTTGCAAATATTTAACCTATTGTTTCTATGGCACATATCTTGCATATAATGAAATAATAAATCACATACCTGAATTAACAGTGTATCGTGTCTTGGCACTTGTGCAGTAAGCTTCAATCACACGTAGAATCTGAGCATCTTCTTCATAACTTCTTTCAGCTGAAAACCAAACAATTAAGATATATAGCCCAGCTTTAAAACTATGAACAATTATTAAGCAACACATAGTAAACCCTTTCAAAGTCCGGAATATTAACTCTCTTAAATAAAAAATTCATATTCTAAAATGAAATGTGGTCTATTATTTCAGTGGCAGAACATGAATTGAAACTGTCTGGGGGAAGAAAAAATTTAGAAAAATAATCAAATCTAAGCAGGAATAATTATGCACGGAATGTAGGACTTTACCAATTTTTTTATTTTACAAGTACCTACAATTGATGGTGTACATAAACCAAGGTTATAATGGGCTAACTGATTGACTCAATGGAGCTGAGTCTTTCTTGAAAAGGCACCAGTCACTCAGCCACTTAAGAATTTCCCAACATTTTACAGAAACCAAAGGTTCATTACTATGTTCACAAGAGCCCTCTACTGATCCCTATCCTGAGCCAGATCAATCCTGTCCATATTACCACATCCTATTCTTCTAAGATCCAACATAATATTATTGCCATGTGTTAGAATGTGATTCTTGGTGGGGCTTTGGATTGGACATTGGATTTACTGACCACTTTAACAAATGATTTGTGACTACATGTAACTATAACACTATCGCTATGTTCCACACTTCCTACAAATCACCAGAGCACATGCCAAGCCTTTTCCAGTCTGCAGTGTCTTCACTAATCATTCCCTGGTAACAGCTTCTAACTGCACTGATTAAGCCTTTTCTTCACAGATTCCACTATAATTCTCTCTAACTGCCCTCCTTATAAGAATGCACAGAAAACACCGTTCATTGCTGTACTCAAATCGTTTCTGTGGGAACATGTTTGTTTGTGAAGGTGTTACTCAGTAATGGCTGTGAATACTTGCTTACTAAGAATCTGTTGCCTAGCAGCAGATGTTGTTTCATTTTTTGTTTCAAGAACATTATCCTGTAAAAGGACTACATGCTACATTATCGTCCCACCTATGCCTAGGTTTTCCTAGTGGTCTCTTTCCTTCTGACTTTCCCACCAAAACCCTACATGCATTCCTCGCCCTCATGCATGCTACATACCCTGCCAATCTCTTCCTCCTTGACTTGATCATTCTAATTATAGTTGGTGAATAACATAAGTTATGAAGCTTCATATTATACAAGACAAAATTGGCCATACTTTAAATCCAAGCAGACAGCAGGATAATACAGGTTGTCCAGAAAGCCACTCTGGATATTTTCTTAACCATTATATTGTGACATGTTGACCCCTACCTCCCCAGCGGTACGTGGCGGTAACATAACGCTCGCGTTACTACGGTAATAGGCGAGTTCCCGCCCCGCCACTCCCCTCCGCGGTGACGTCAC